TTCCCTGCCAGCATATGTCATGGTATTTCTCTCCCTTACCTATGTTCAACAGTTTAGCAGCAAGGAAGCAGATACACTATATGGGAGGGCTTTACAGACCCATATACAATAAACATTTCTCGTCTCAGAAGTGTCACATAAACTAAGAATACCATCTCAACACCATCATAGATTCCTGTTGCTATTAGCATAATAAGGTATAAACATGCTTTGAAATAAACCCATTTAAATAATTAGATGAGTATCAAAACATGCAACTCAAAAAGTTTAATGCACTAATTAACGACCTAATAAAATAAACCCACACCACACTTGTACCCTAGAAGTTGTTAAGTGCTCTGGTCCCTATAGAAAACAACAGCGTCATCACTCAATTTGCCAATAAACCTGCCCTAGTGATAGATCATTATGTTACTACTCAGATAAATTAGTAGCTGTGCATTGCATTGCTAGTAATAGACAATAATAACCAGGCTCATAAATCAACTTGTATATTTCTCATTTACCACTCATATAAAACCATATATTATAATCTGATTTATACTTAAATCAAGAATGACTCTTCCAACAAATATATGAAGTTAAAAGTCATGATCATAGCAGTACAAAGGCTAATGTATTAATCTTACCTGATGAAATAAGTATTCTCAAGCTTTCTAGCTTGCCATACTGCGCAGCCACAAATAAAGCTGTGATTCCAAAGTCATCCTGACATTCCTTATTTGCTCCCTTTTTAAGGAGCAATTTTATTATTTCAGCATTTCCCTAAAGCACAGATTCAGATTTTAAATAAATGAAAACAACAAAAATAGAAGGCATTATCTTTTCTTATTGCATTTTCTGAATTCCTTTTTGAAGAAAAACAAAACAGTATTGTAGTACTGGTTGGGGAAGAAGGAACCAATCAGTCTATCATCTATCTCTAATTAACCCATTAAATATAAATATGTTAATTAGTGATCTCTTGGCATTATAATCCTTACAAAGTCCTGCAAAAATATTTTTCTAACCAAAGCACTAAGGAATAATCACAGCTTCTTAACACACTACCATAAAATAAGCCACTACACTTTACCAATTTATATCACAAATATTCAGATGATTTCTTAACTATGCTATCAAGATTTTAAAAACTTAGGTAATCCCTATAGCCCAAAGCTGCTACAGCTACTACAGCATATTCAGAATGATCATTAGCATTTAGACTGCCTTTTCTGTGCTGCACTAACCATCATAAATCATAGGCAAGTAGGAAGCAAAAACCGTATAAAACGGTCATCTTAAAGGGGTAAAACACACAATTTACATGGAAATGAAATAATAAATTCAGAGATTACCTGGAAAGCAGCCTGGTGCAAAGAGTTCCATCCACACATAGAATGAGATCCATTAACATTTGCTCCATGTCGAAGCAACAGCCTTAACACATCTATCTGTCCATTTTCAACAGCTGGAATACAGTAGTCACAAAAATCACTGTCAGCAAAAAGGTACATTTGTAAAACTGGACACTCCTGATGTTCTTATCATTTATTCACCTCAGAACTCATAATGCTGTGATCATTCCTGAACATTTACCGTGACTGGCTTAGCACAAACCCATTTACATACACCTAATCCTTTCTGTCCACACACCACACTATTTTCAAATGTATGTTAAAAGACAAGAGGAAATAGAAGCCAAAAGGCAAATATTTATTTTCTGATAATGGAATCTATATGGCTATAGTTTGTTTAAAATGCACCTGGGGAGATGGACAGAGTTTTTAAAAAAAAAGTACTAGTCTGGAAAAAGAGCTTCAAAAAGGTTGAAAGGCTTGCTATTACCATTTTATCACAAATGACAAGAGTATTCTCAAAAAGTGAAGGCCAGTTCTGCATCTTGGAATTCTTTTATTATTATAAGCAACAATCATTGCTAAAATTGTTTTCTTAGGGGAATGGATGAGGAAAGAGAAATTGGCGCTGTTTGGGGAAGGGAGTAAGTACCAGCCAGAGGGCTTTGGGATAACAAAAAGGATAAAAGAAGATGAGGCTGGGAAGGTGGTTCAGTGGTAGAGTGCTTGCCTTGTGTGCTTGAGACCCTGGGTTCGATTCCTCAGCACCACATAAGCAGAAAAAGCTAGAATGGGCACTGTGGCTCAAGTGGTAGAGTGCTAGCCTTGAGCTGAAGAGCTGAGGCACAGCTCCCAGGCCTAGAGTTCAGGCCCCACGGACTGGCAAAAAACCAAAAACACAAAAATATAAAATGGCTCAAAGTGATAGAGCATTAGCCTTGAGCACAAAAGTTCAGGGAGAGTGCCCAGGCCCCAAGTTCAAGCCCCACAACCAACAGCAACAAAAAAAAAGTTAAATATATATTACCTTGTGATAACTAAAACTACTAAAATTAATCACTCATACTTCTCTACTATCCTATGAAGGATGGCATAACTCCAAAAGGTATACATAGAAGTTATCCTAAGCCAGGTGCCAATGGCTCATGCCTGTAATCGTAACTACTTAGGAGGCTGAGATCTGAGGATCACAGTTCAAAGCCAGCCCTGGCAGGAAAGTCCGTAAGACTCTTATCTCCAATAAACTACTAGAAAACCAGAAGTGGCTCAAACAGTAGAGTGCTCGCCTTGAGCTGAAGAGCGCAGGGACGGCTCCCAAGCGCAGAGTTCAAGTCCCATGACCAAAAAAAAAAAAAGTTATCCTATTTTCCTTTGCATATGTAATTTAACATTAGAAAATATATGTTTAGTCTAAACTAATAGTCTATTGATCATATTTGATTAAGAAATGGACATAATAATATAGGTATATGTTATTTGGAGAATGTGTTACTGAAATGATGTAACAGGCAAGCTGGGTTAAGCTTTGCAGCACCATCTACCACAAAACCTCACCTGAAGGTGGCAGCAATCCTGGGGAAGCTTAAGCATGGAATTAAAGAAAAACAGAATGCAAGAATAAAGCCTATCAGTCCTCCTTACCCAAGGTTTCCTTCTGCAGTCTTCTACAGTCAACAGCAGTCCCAAAGTGTTAAATAGAAGCTGCATTGAGTTTTTTTGTTTGCTTGCTTTATTTTTTTTTCTTGGTAGGTCATGAGGCTTGAACCCAGGGCCTGGGCTCTGTCCCTGAAATCTTTTGCTCAAGGACTCTATCACTTTGAGCCAATAGCTCCACTTTCGGTTTTCTGGTGGTTAATTGGAGATAAAAGAGTCTCACAAACTTTCCTGCCTGGGCTGGCTTTGGACCATAATCTTCAGATCTCAGTCTCCTGAGTAGCTAGGATTAAAAGTATGAGCCACCAGCTCCCTTAGTTTAAAAGTACATGTTGTTGTGATATGTAATAAAAATCTTATATTATCCTATTCCCTCCTGATACTCAGGAAGTGAAGTTTCCCTATGTCCAGAATATCTACCCACACATATATGTTTTAGTCACTCAGGAGCCTTGTGATTTTATATTCGTTGTTACTGTAATATCTTACTGCATATAAATTAAGCTCTATCATAGGTGTGTGTATATATATGTACATATGTACTTTATAGAGAGAGACAGCTATATGTATATATATGTATATATATATATATATACACACATATACATATATACACGTTCAGTACTTTAATGTGAATACAGGCATCCACTCAACATCTTGGAATACATTCCCTGTATAAAGAGGTCACAATAGAGTACTACACAAAATAAGTACACTCATACGCAGTCATGAAACATTAGCTAATAAAGATGTGTTATGCATAGCACGGATGTGAGGGTGATAAATTATTCCTTTAAGGTGAAAATTTGAAGACAGCAGTAGCTATACTAGAGGGAGCTAAGATGCATCTAACAAGATCTACTTTCATGTGCTTGGGTATGGGAAAAGGTTTAAAAACAAGCAAGGTTGTTTGTTTTGTTTTACTTTCCATTTCAAGCATACAGTAATTCTTTGTCTTCTACTACAGTAGGAGGCAGGATATGAGAATCAACAATAGAATCATAACAATAGAAAGGCACTAAGTGGAGTATAGTGTCATGTCCATAATCTCTGCTACTGAGAAGGTAGACATCAAGATCACAGTTCAAGGCCAGCCTGGGCAAAAAGTTGGTGAGATTCTCATCTCAATAAAAATAAAATAAAATAAAGGGCACCGAAGCTGGTATCTATCATCCAACTACACAAAAGGCACAAATAGATTTGCAGTCCAGAATGGCTTGTAAACCATGAGACTCTGTCCAAAAAATTAAAGCTGAGATAGAGGTGTGGCTCAAGTGGAAGAATGCCTACCTAATAAGCACAAGGCTCTCTGTTCAAATCTGTTTGGCAAAAAAAAAAAAAAAGGCTAGCAATGTGGCTTACTGGTAAAGTGCTTGCCTAGTATGCATCAATTCCTCAGTACCACATAAACAGAAAAAGCCGAAAGTAAAGCTGTGGCTGAAGTGGTAGAGTGCAAGCCTTCAGCAAAAGAAGCTCAGGGACAGTGCCCCAGGCCCTGAGTTCAAGCATTTCCAGGACTGGCAAAAAAAAAAAAAGAACTGGAGAAATGGCTCAGTGGTACATAGTTGCCTACATACTCAGTTGCCTACATAGCAAGTTCAAGGCCAGGAGTACACACACACACACTCACTCACTCACTCGCTCACTCACATACTAGACATTTGGATAATAGGTACAGTAACTTTGTCTTTATCAAACTGGGGCATGGGTATGCTTCCAAGAAGCAAGTGATTGTTTCCTGCAGACCTATTTTCTCAACAATTCTGAGAAAAACACCTGCAAAAACCTGTTAGAGACTGCCCACCATCCAGACAGTGCAAATCTTTCCCAGGAACAGAGTCAGTCATTTAAGCAATGAGTGTACTGTGGGGACAGAGGGGACAAAGGTGAAAGAGAAAGGCTGGAGAAGGATCACAAAGAATTATGAGTGCCTCTGCTTTGAGAGCTGTGAGATAGAGAAATGAGAAGCATGTCAGTAACAACGGCAAATTACCTCACCCAACTGAAACTACCACTTGGTAGGAATGCACTGCATACTAGTATTTACTCTGCATTCTGTGTAGAAACAGTTCACTTATTCCAGTTCTTTCTTATGTCCAGAGAAGCATCAGGCTTCCTCCTCTTTATTGTTTGGCCTGTGCTATAATCCCAATTCTATACCTTCTATGTCTTGAGTTTGCTCTCAACATCCCTTCTCTATTGAGTCTACTAGCATATTGTAACCTGGTCTAAATCTGTTCACAATTCCCAGGAAAATCTAAGGTTTTCTTTCATTAAAAATAAACAAACTGAAACGTACTCTTTACTTGACTTATATAACTGTAACCCCTCTATACATCACCTTTACAATAAATTTTAAATAAATAAAGCCAGGAACCAGTGACTCACACCTGTAATCCTGGCTACTCAGAAGGATGAGATCTGAGAATGACAGAAGAAGCCCAGGCAGGAAAATCTGTGAGATTCTTTATCTCCACTAGACCAAAAAAAAAAAAAAAGTCAGAAGTGAAGCTGTGGGTCAAAGATACAGAGCTAGCCTTGAGCATCAGAAGCTCGGGAATAGCATCTGATCCCTGAGTTCAAGCCCCAGGACTAGCACAAAAATAAATAAAAATAAACAAATAATAGGCTGGCACACATGAATGGAGGGAGCAAGGATGAACAAATTCAGTCATTATATTCATTGTGCATTATATAAAAATTGAACTACATAACTTGAGGGTAGGGATAGGAGGGGGGAAATGGAGAATGATAGGGGTGGCATTGATCAAGAAGTAATGTACTCATAACCTGACATATGGAATTGTAATTTCTTTGTACAACTACTTAATAAGATTTTTTAAAATTTTTTAAAAAGAAAATTCAGGTAGGTAGAGGTGTGTCACAAAAATAAATAAACAAGGATTAGTGGAGACTACTTAGCGGTAAGGCTTTAAGTTCAAACTCCAGTACTGCCAGGAAAAATGATAGATAGATAGATAGATAGATAGATAGATAGATAGATAGATAGATAGATAGATAGATAGATGGATAGATGGATAGATGGATAGATGGATAGATGGATAGATGGATAGATGGATAGATGGATAGATGGATAGATGGATAGATAGAGAGATAGAGAGATAGAGAGATAGATAGAGACAGACAGACAGACAGACAGACGCTAATTTAAAAAGGTAAATTAGGATCAATATTGCTTAAAGCAGTTTATTTGCAAATACAAGACTAGAGCAAAAGCCTGGCACCAGTGGCTCACAGCTATAATCCTAGCTACTCAGGAGGCTGAGATCTGAGGTTCAAAGCCAGAAGAGGCAGGAAAGTCCATGAGACTCTTATCTTCAATAAACCACTCAGAAAACTGGAAGTGGCACTGTGGCTCAAGTAGCAGAGCATTAGCCTTAAGCTGAAGATCTGAGGGACAGCACCTAGACCGAGAGTTCAAGCCCCATGACCAGAAAAA